TGAAGTTTTACGCATTGAAATTGGAAAAAAAAGTGAGAAGTGTCGATAAAAATGGTCTCATCAAATTCTTACCATAGGCGTAATGTCGGTTCACTTTTCCGCGAATCTTATTATCGACTGTTCCACGACCCAGCTGTCCCTTCAAAACATATTCGTTCACCCAAACTCGATCACGTAAACTTTCCAACGAGTCGCAGCCATCATTAATGCCTAGCACTGAAACACGCATAAATCAACGAAAACTTTCATTAGACTATACGTACCAATATGTGTAATAAAAGTATGACTTACAATAACTTAACATACACAAATTATACGCTATTTAACATAAACGTATATGAAATTTCCTAGTCGGTAAGGTACTTTGAATTTGTGAATAAAAGGAAAAAAAGCAAAACGAAAGAAATGGAGCCTGTAACCAAAAGCAAAAGCAGACAAAAACTGAGCTTGTGCGAGCAAGATATGTCTTACAAAAACCTGTCTTCAGTAAGCGAGGCTTCGTTTTCCTACTGTTGCATAGCACTAGCGGGAGGTGTTTTTGATTCCAGGACGTGTGCCTGGACGAAGTAGCATCGACAAATGATTCTTCACTGATGGATTCAAACCAAACCATAGATTCTAATTAAACCGTAGATTCTAATCTGACAGAAGATGTAGATTCTAATCTGATTATCGTATAGAAATGGCACTGCTTGGGTAGATGAGTGATGCTCAACACATACAGCAGATCGAGGTCAAAACGTCCTAACAGGACAATCAAGGACTATTAGTGTAAGTAAAACTGGCTCTAACTGTTTAAAAAAACAATATAACTCAAAAGAGGAAATACGAATTAACTCAAAACCACCAAGTTCTCGTCGTTTTTCAAAAAACCGGGGCCAAAAAGCTTCAAATCAGCTCTGCGACTAACCAAAACAAGGTTGCAAGATGAATCTGCAAACGGAACTAAGCTCAAAATCCTTTTTTTTTGGAAAAAAACCAAATTATAACTACGGATAGAATTTATCGATCCGAGAGTTACCATACTCTTTCCTGTACCAATACAAAAGCGATCGTTTCCCTAAACTGTTATTAACGAGCTCAGACGAAAATTCTTACAACATACACCAGAACCAGCAGTCTGCTGAGCATCGAACTCTTCCACTCGGATATCCTCTTTACGAAACGCCTGACCGACAGCGAGCGGATGGTAGCTGAAACAGTGTAATGAATGCAGACAACATTAACCCAAGCTGGGATACACTGACTTGCCGGTGTGATCATGCATTTTTGTATCAAATTTGAAGTACTCAGGTAGTTAACTGCATGAATGCTTATTTCTTTACACCTACCTTTTGCGTTTATTCGCGTATATCATCGTAAATTTTGCATAAAGAAAGTGAACAATTTCTGTTCGACGACCGTTCTTTGAAAATGATCTAGCTATTTTGAGCAAATTTCCCGTCAAAAATTTTAAGTGCCCGTATATGAAAACCAAGCATAACTGGAGACTGAGCTTGAAATATTTAAGTCATTTGTGGGCAGGGGGCATTACGCAAAGATTCCACCTTTCTAGCTCCTCTAGTTCCTGAGCAATTTTCCCACTAAAACAGCCACATGACCGTGCTTGAGAATCACGCACACCTAGGGGCTGAATTTGAAACCTTTAATTTAAACAAGCACTGAGAATACCCCTGCAAAATTTCAGCTCTCCATCCCTTCTGATTTCCGAGGTCACTTTCCCACCAAAAATTTTCCATATTCTTTAAGGTGTCCGTATGCGGCACTCAGGCGTGCGTGGGCGATGAAATCGAAACGTAAGGGTTGCATCTGGTGTACGCACACAATTCTGAAGTTTCAGCTTTCTAGCTTTTCTGGTGCTCGAGTTTAAAGTGAGTGATAAAAAGTGCGAACACATAGACAGCCTTTTGCCAAAATGCGCTTTTGCATTTGCATATATGCACGAACACATAAAAACCAAAATTTTAAGCAAAATCAGTTTGGCGATTACAATTAGTGCAAAAGATTGAGCATCTTAACCGGCCAGACATGGTTCTCTTATGTTCACCCGCTCACTAACTTCCTTTCCACAAACTTTTTCCAGACATCTGAAGGTCTGTACTGTTCGATCCTATCATTTTTCAAAAGAGAAGCAAATCTGATTATCGCATGATTGTAGCATGAAAGTAATATGAAGAACTTAAAAAAGAAGGCAAGAATAGAACGAACTGTGTAATGCAAGAGGTAGAAATATTGCTGGTGCAGGAAAAATAAGTACGAGAGAGTTACAGCGGTGGTATCCTGCACCCGAACATGTGTATTTTCAGCATCCCTTAGTTTCTCTTTCTGGTGCTCAGCAGGGAGTTCGCAAAATAGTTAGCTGGCGTCTTACTGTTACCTGTAGTCGGGCTGTTTTCGTAATCCGATGACGACGGGGGCCTGTGAGACCGGGTGTGCCTCCACCACTGGCATCTCAATGCGTGGCACCACCAATGGGGAGCAGTATTTGTTGGCCCCATCACATATGGCAGCGATGAGGTGTCGCTTCAGTGCACTAATCGACATATCACGGGGTTTGTGAACACATACTATTCCATGTAGCGCCTGCCATAGTGATCGAACAGGCTGCTCATGCATCACAAACGTAATGCCCGCCAAGTACCGAATGCTGAAACGATAAGAACGGATCATTTGCTTTCTGTGAGAGACAGAGGCACGCGGAAATTAGCCTTAGTAGTAATAATACGTCGTCTTATGCACGTTCTAGTTATGCCACCCAGTGCCAGGTCAGCGCCTACATTTCCAAATTCCATCTGCCCAAATGGCCCACGGGATCTTTTCCTTATTTTATTGAATTTATGAAAATTTATCAAAAAAAAGGCTCCTTTTCAATGAAATATGCCATCAGCTTGCTTCTAAGCGAACTTCGAAAGAGGGAGCCATCGAGAGCCTTACCAGCGGGTGAGTCTTTCTAACACTAACTGACTACTTCCGAGGGTGCCTCCATCCCCCACAGAAAGTGGAAAGGGCAAAAATTTTTCATTTACACAGTTTTTCTGATAAAACGTAAGCCCTGCTGAAGATTCAGGGGACCACTTTTCATGAAAAAGACGGTGAGTATTCGTTCACCAGTGCACGCATATCTCTTCTTGCAAATTGTCATTGCGCAATGTAAAAAGGCTACTAGTTACTAAATCAACTGGAAGGGAATCGGTAAGGAGCAACAAATGAATTTAAGTAACTTTTTCCGAAAAAAAACAAGACAACTGGGAGTGAGAGAAGGTACAGGCAACAGGGGAGCGATAAACGCTGGCACCAAAAGTCCGTTTTAAGCAGTCTTAAACAGCAACTATTACTCAAATCACCCTCTAAACCCACTTATTTCCTTAGCTAAAGTCGCGTCATACCGCCTCCTTCTGCGTTACCATACTAAATAGAACCCAATTCCCTGACTGATTTTACCATGCCCCATAGGCGGATCCAGAGGAGGAAGGGTCTTTCTCTTCCCCCCTTCCTCCGACTTCCTACGGCGCGAGTACCAGTGCCACAAAAGTCCGGGCCTAAAGTTAAAACTGAAGAAAACTCTTCCGCATCCCTCGCTTGTCGCCGTACCAGTAGGCCCTGCTCCTATCCTCCCCTTTTCCTTGCCAGTAGAAGCCCAACTCATGGCCTTCTCTCCCCCTCCCCTTTTTCCCTCCTCTCCATAAGGCCGCCATGGTTCCGTCCATGCCCTATTCCGTCACTTCATTGAATCACGTTCGTTAGCGACAAAATATCGCGCAAAACACCTCAATCAGATCAATAAGTCTGATCAGTAAGCTGAACCAAAGTGCTGCCTCTAAGGCCGGACTAATGCGAAAGTGACCGTGTTTAAGATGACAATTCTTAAAACTTACTTTGGGCACGCGAAATGCACTCACTTCCAGGTTTGATTGAGGGCCCGTTTGGGTGAAAGCACAATCGCACCCAAATACCGGGTTCTTCCCTCCGACAAATTTCCCCTCTCTTTCCTCCCC